TATGTCCTAGAGATCTGGTACTAGGGAGATTTCCAGATACCTACAAGGATGACACCAACTGACAATCCATGCAATGGTAGAGAGGATAACCTAAATGCCCTTCCCCTAAAATGAGATTGATGACTACTTTTTATGCTATCCTACAGCCCTCATCCAGTGGGGGATGGAAGCAGAGGCAGACATCCACAGATATACACTGAACTGTACTCTGGAACTTAGTTGCAGAGAGGGAGGAATGAAGATTGAAAGGGTCGGTACTAGATTGGTGAAACCCACACAAACAGCTGGCCTGAGCAAGGGGGAGCACATAGACTCCAGACTGCTGTCTGGGAGGCCAGTACAGGACTGATCCAGACCCCTGAACATGGATGCCAATGAGGAGGCCTCTGCACTCTCGGAGTCCCTGGTAGTGGATTAGTATTTTTCCTGGTGTAAGAAGGGACTTTGATAGCCCATCCCTTGTGAAGGGATGCACTCTTGTCCTGGACACATGGGGAAGGGCCTAGGCCCGGCCTAGGATGATGTAGTGTTCTTTGGGGAGCCCCTGTTGAGGGCTTTACCTTGCCCGGGGGAGGATGGGTGAGGGGGTGAGGGGAAGATGTGGAGTTGGGGGGAGGGAGAGGGAGAAGGAGGAGAAGGGATTGACACGTGAAGCAAGCTTGTTCCTAATTTGAACTAATAAAAAAAATCTCAACTCTGAAAAAAAAAAAAAGAGATGAAGAAGGGCATTTCATATTCACCAGAGGAAAAGTCTATCAAGATGAAGTCTCAATCCTGAACATCTATGCCCCAAATACAAAGGCACCCACATTTGTAAAAGAAACATTACTAAAGCTCAAATCACAAATAAAACTTCACATACTTATAGTAAGAGACTTCAACACCCTGCTCTCACCACTAGACAGGACCACCAGATAGAAACTAAACAAAGAAACAAAAGAACTAACAGAAGTTATGACCCAATTGGGATTAACAGACATCTGTAGAACATTCTATCCAAACACAAAAGAATATACCTTCTTCTCGCACCACATGGAGCCTTCTCTAAAATCAACTATGTACTCAGCAAAATAGCAAACTTCCATAGATACAAAAAATGGAATACCCTCTGTATCTTATCAGACCACTATGCTTTAAAGGTAGAATTCAACAATAACACAAATTGCAGAAACCCTACCAACTCATGGAAATTGAACAATGAACAATTGCATCATTCCTGGGTCAAGGAAGGAATAAAAAAGAAATTAAAGACTTCCTACAATTTAATGAGAATGAAGACACAACATACCCAAACTTATGGGGCACTTTGAAAGCAGTGCTAAAAGGAAAGTTCATAGCACTAAGTGTCCATATGAAAAAACTGGAGAATAGCTACACTAGAGAATTAATAGTACTACTGAAAGTTCTAAAACAAAAAAGAAGCAAACTCACCCTGGAGGAGAAGATGCCAGGAAATGATCAAATTGAAGGATGAAATCAATAAAGTATAAACAAAGAAAACAATACAAAGAGTTGGTTCTTTGAGAAAGTCAATAAGATAGACAAACCTTTTTCCAAACTACCCAAAAGGCAGAGATAGAGAAAGCATGCTAATTAAAAAAAATCAGAAATGAAAAGGGGGACATAACAATGGACACTGAGGAAATCAGAGAATCATCAGGTCATAATTTGAAAACCTGTACTTGACAAAATTTGAAAATATAAATGAAATGGACAATTTTCTGGATAGATATCACTTACCAAAATTAAATCAAGAATGGAGAAGCAATTTAAATATACCTATCACACCTATGAAATATAGCAGTCATCAAAAGTCTCTCAACTGAAAAAAGGCCAGGGCCAGATGGTTTCAGTGCAGAATTCTACCAGAAATTCAAAGAAGGGCTAATACCAGTACTTATATTGTTCCACACAATAGAAGCAAAAGAGACATTGCCAAACTCTTTTTAAGAGGCTACAATTGGCCTTGGTACCCAAGCCACACAAAGATACAACTAAGAAAGAGAACTACAGACCAATATACCTCATGAACATTGATGCAAAAATAATCAACTAAATCCTAGCAAACTGAATCCAAGAACATCAGAAAAATTATACACCCTGTTCAAGTAGGCTTCATCCCAAGGATGCAAGGATGGTTCAACATATGAAAAGCCATCAATGTAATCCACCATATAAACAAACTGCAAAAGAAAAACCGCACTAGATCATCTCACTAGATGCTGAAAAAGTCTTGACAAAATCCAACACCCCTTCATGATAAAGGCCTTGGGGAGATCAGGAATAACAGGAACATACCTAAACATGGTAAAAAAAAAAAACAAAACAATATACAACAGTCTTTCATAGGCATACCTTCTTTAGGTTTGGGAAGTTTTTTTTTCTGTGATTTTGTTGAATATGTTTTTTGTACCTTTGAACTTTATTTCTTCAACTTCTTCTATACCTATTAATCTTAGGTTTGGTCTTTTCACGGTGTCCCATATTTCCTGAATATTTTGTTTTTCGGTTTTCTTGGATTTGAGATTTTCTTTGGTCGGTAACTGTATATCCTCTAGTGAGTCTTCAACACCTGAGATCTCTTCCATCTCTTGTACTCTATTGGTTATACTTACATCTGTAGTTCCTGATGTTTGCCCAGATTTCTAACTCCAGCATCCCCTCATTCTGTGTTTTCTTTATTGTTTCTATTTCAGCTTTCAAGCCTTGAACTGTTTGAGTTGTTTCCTTCATTTGTTTGGTTATTTTTCTTGGCTTTCTTTAGATTCTTTAAGAGTTTTGTTTATTTCTTGAATTTTTTGTTTTGTCTTTTCCTCCATTTTATGTAATTTTTGTTTGTTTTATGTTCTATTTCTTTAGGGGATTTTCTCATTTACTCTTCAAGGGTCTCTATCATCTTCATAAAATAGTTTTTAAGGTCCTTCTCTTCTGCTTCATCTGCATTGAAATTTTCAGCTCTTGCTGGTGTGGAGTCCCTAGATTCTGGTGGTGTCATATTTGTCTTTCTGTTGTTGAATGTGTTCTTATATTGTTGCCCTCCCATCCCTTCTTTGAGTGGGTGCAGGTGGGGTAGCTCCTGGTTGCATATGTGGGCCAAGACTTCAGTGTCTGCAACTCTGGATGGTATGGCCTCTCCTGGTATTCTCCTGACTTAATTGGAGGGTGTAGTGGTACCAAGACTCAAGTGGGGGGCAGAGTGCAGAGGGAAGATGGGGGACCAAGAGAGGGATGTGGTCCTACCTGTTGTGGCAGGTCCACTTTATGAGAGGAGCAGGATGGGAGTTGGGGCAGGAGAAGAGCCCATACTCCCCTTAAGCAGAGGGTAGAGGGTGGGAGGGCAAGAGTGATTTGTGGCCAGACTCAGGGTGGTCCTTCCTGCAGGGGCGGGTGCACTCTATGAGAGGAGCTGGTCCAGGAAGATCCAAGCAATGGGGATGGCAGGAGTTGGGACCTAAGCAGAGGCCACACTCACATCAAGCATAGGGCAGAGTGCAGAAGGGTGCCAAGAGTGAGGTATGACCAGACTCAGAGTGGTCCTTATTGCAAGGGTGGGTCTACTCTATGCAAGGAGCATGCCCAGGAAAATCCGAGGAGGGTGGGATGGCAGGAGTTGGGGCCTGAGCAGTGCCTACACTCACCTCAAGCAGAGGGCAGAGGGCAGGGGGCAGAAGGTCGCCAAGAGTGAGGTATGGCCAGACTCAGAGTCATCCTTCCTGTAGGGGCAGGTCTACTCTGTGTTAGGAACATGCCCAGGAAGATTCAAGGAGGGAAGGATGGTGGGAGTTGGGGCCTGAGCAGTGCCTACACTCACCTAAAGCAGAGGGCAGAGGGATGAAGAGGGACAAAGGAATTAGCTAGTGTTTTACTGAATATTTTCATTTCATGATGAGAATTGTGTTAAATACATTTAAAAATATTTGTTGGCAAAAATTATTCAGCATGTATACAATTTTTATCATTTATTAACAATGAAAAACTTGCATAATTATTATTCCAATGTAGGATTATGTTTTTCATAAAGAAAAATAATTACTGAATATGTTACATATTAGAATATATAACTTCTCATTGTTTGTTCATACTTTATTAATATGTTGGGTAGAGTCACTACTACAGAGGTGTATGAACTATGCAAATACATAGTACAAAATGGTAGGAGTATACTGAAGGCCATTTCAGGAAGTTGTTGCAAATTTTGCCTTAATCATGAGTTAAAATTCTTGTAGTGATTTAATTTTTTCTTTACATTTCAGAGGCTCACACATGTATACAAACATATTAATCCCTCATTTCCATTTTCCCCCACCAATTCTCCCTATGTCCTTCATTACATGCTCTTCAGCCAATTTCATATCTCTTATCTCATAGTCCATTTAGTTCCATTAGTGTTGCCCATATGTGCTTGAATTTGGGGCAAACCCTAGAGCATAGAAATACTATCAGTGGCTACATAATCAAAAGGGAATGATTCTCCCTTTGTGGGAAACCACATACTAAAAATATCCTCCTATAAAACTTGTCAGTAACACAATCACCAAGTTTTAAAATTAAACATTCTTGGGCCACATCATTAAAATTCAGTAATTTTACATTTAAATGCTGATAAATTATGTTAGGAAAATACTGAAAATATTACTTCCTACATTTAAACCATTAAATTTCCATGTTTACATATGGTAGAAGTATAGCCATTCTTATTGTTAAATCCAAGAGTCAGATCCAACTCAATCCTAAGTGTTTACATCTGCATTCTTTGATATCTAATTGTATGAAAACATGTACAGCACCAATTTTTAATGTTATATGTTCAGAAAGCAGGCCAAAGTGAAGCTGCACTATGGATAAGTACAGCAATGAACTTGATTCATTACATGTATGCCTTAATTTTTGGATATTTTCTATTTAAAAATTTTTACAGTTGCTATATTTTTCAAGACACCGCAGTTATGTAACCCACAGTTTAAAAATCTATATATTTAGGTATCATACAGCTAGTTAAGTTAGGTTATTTTGATTATTTTCTGGAGGGCTTTCTTGATGTCTCTGTTCCTCAGACTGTAGATAAATGGGTTAATCATTGGAACAACCATGGTATACATTATTGAAGCCACCATACTTTCTCTGGAAGAACTAGAAAAAGATGAACTAAGGTACACACCAAGGCCTGTTCCATAAAATAGGCAAACAACTGCCAGGTGTGATCCACAGGTAGAAAAGGCTTTATATCTCCCATGCAATGATGGAACTCTAAAAATGGAGGAAATAATTTTATAGTAGGAGTAAAAGATTCCAGAGACAGGGAGAAAGCCAGCAATGATGCTGACAAGAAATATGACTATGTTATTGATATAGGTATCAGAACAGGCAAGTTTTAGAAGCTCTGGAACATCACAGAAGAAATGAGGTATTTCTTTATTAGTGCAAAATGTTAGTTGTGACACCATTAAACAATGTATCTGTGAATCCACAAGACTAATAAAGAATGACACCAGGACCAAATATCTACACAAGCCAGGGTTCAGGATGACCTGGTAGTGTAGAGGGTGACAAATGGCCACCCATCGGTCATAGGCCATCACAGTGAGTAGTAGGCTGTCCATACACCCAAAAAGAAAGAAGAAGGACACTTGACTTAGGCAGGCTGCATAAGTTATAGATTTGCTATGGGTCTGCATATTTATCAGCATTTTGGGGACTGTGGTGCTGCTAAAGCCCATGTCAGACAAGGAAAGGTTGTAGAGGAAGAAATACATGGGACTGTGGAGGTGGGAATCAGAGCTGATGGCTAGGATGATGAGCATATTTCCTAGTACTGTGAGCAGGTATATAATCAGGAATAGTACAAATAAGATGGGCTGCAGTTCAGGATCCTCTGAGAGTCCAAGGAGGAGAAATTCCAAGGCCCCTGTTAAATTATATGGCTCCATGGGGCTAGGGCATGAAAAGAAAAAGACTGTTGTAGTGAATTATGCACAATAGAGGCAACTGGCTACATACCTGTGTTTTTGTAATCCAGCAATCATAAAAAAGCATTCATACATAAGAACTACTAAGGCTTAGACATTATTTATTCAGAATGAAGGTTCATGGGCTAGGAGATTTGTCATCTGTTTGGCAGTCAGTTGGAACATTTAAGAAGTAGAATCCATGATTTGCACGTGTATCAGTGGTACAGTCCTTGTCAAGTAAATGTAAGATCCTACATTCAATCTCTCCAGAAAAGGGGATAAAGTAAGGAGTGGAGGGAAGAGTGAGGGAAGAAACGAAGGATGAGGGAAATGAAAGAAAAGGAAAGGAAAGAAAGGAATATGAAATAAAAGGAGTCTGGTGGGAAGTCCACCAAACAAGATATGCCCTTGGTAGAGATTGAGAGACTCCGGCCTCTCTGGATGCCTCTTAAACATATTATCACTTCCTCTCTAATACATTTTCACTTCTGCTACTCACCAAGTGACCATCATCAAAATCAGTGCTACATGATTTAAATTTTTAGACTACAAAACTTTGAGCTACATAAATTCCTATCCTAACAAAGCTTACCTGTCTTAGGTATTTTGATAAAATAATGCAAAACAGACCAAAACAAATGCAATGTGGCTTTAGGTGATATTTCTTAGTTGTGGCAAATTCTTACAACCCCTTCTTAATGGCCTCAGTGACAACCACTTGTTTCTACATATATCATCTTCAGAAAATCTGGGCAAAATATATTAGGATTATCTTGAATAACTATTTCTTGAACACAATAAAAAGATCTCTACCACTAAAACCACACATGAAGAAGAAAGTACTTTTTCATCTATTTACCTTGGGAAAAATAATCATTCTAATAAAGAACACTACAAAGAAGTGATGTATATTTTATCTTCTAAAAGTGCACTAAGTTCATTTCCTTGGATTTATATTGCAAGCACATAACTTAACAGAGCTAAGAACCTGGCATGGAGTAATGCCTCAGCAGTTAAAAACACTTCCTGCTCTTTCAGAGGACCCAAGTTTTTTTCTCAGTACCTGTATCAGGTAGTTCACAACAGTCTATTATTCCAACACAGAGGGAACTTACACCATTTTCTTGCCCTTTGGGTATCTGCACACAACTGACTTGTATACAAAAAATAAAAGCCAACACTCAAAAATTATCAAAATTAAGAAAAAACCTAGATTCTAGTTTTTTCCAATGCTGTTTGTCAAATAGAACTTTTATATTCTACATTATTCAGATAATTTCATTTTTCCATTTTCTGATTTTGTAACTCATTTGTTTGGTTGAAACTTAGTTCCTGAGAAATGTGAAAATTATCAGGTAAAAGTATTTTCAATTCTACCAATATATAAACATTACCATTGTCTTCCAAGTTTGGTAAATATTTATATATTCTATATACTTTATTCTGAAGGTGGTAATGATTGATAAAGTACAAATGTTTAAACAATATTTTTTCTTTATTTTTAGTTGATGTACAAAGAGAGTTTAATTATGCAACATTCCAAAATACATGTTATTATACTTTGAACATACCCATTCTCAACTACCTTCACTAGACCTTTATCACAGCTTCTCTTGGTTCCTTTTCACACAATCTTCTCCTTTCTTCTTTTAAATTTAGTATTACATATAGGAAAATGCTTGGTATTTTGTTTTTCTTATTCCTCATTACCATCCATCTTGTAACCCTGCCTCATTATCCCAAATGCAGTTGTGATATATTGGTAGGCATATGGTACCACACTTAGCTATAATAATTCTTTTATTTCCCCCAATTATTTTCTAATGGTCACTCTATTTTTCATTTCTCCTTACCCACCTCTCCTTCTGATGGTCTGATGGTAGATCCCACATGCTTGCACATGCTAGACAGGTATATTAATTATGTAGCTACATCCATGCCTCACCTTGCACCATAATATTCTATAAATACTACAGGATCTAAAAGGAAGATCTAAGACTGAGTTCATATTTTGGTTTTTCTTTTGTTGTTTGTTGTAATCTGGTAAACATTTCTATTTCTTAAATATATTTCTAATCCAAGCTTTCATAATAGATTTGTTTTGCTTTTAGTTTAAAGGCAACCCACTTACGTACATTAGAAGAATATAGGACAATGTTGGAACCAAAACTTTACCTTGAACTTTAGTCTGACCTTCTTAAGACATCTTAAGTTCTTCTCAATTCATTCATTTTTTGTAGGATGATTTCATCTCCTCTAAAATTGACTGACTTTAGTTGGCCTTCTTATAACATCCCAACATCTTTTTATTTCAAGCATTTTTCTTAGGACAATTGCGTTTTCAATAAAATAAACCCTCTTAATTTGAGTTTCTTTCTTCTAACATGTCAAAACATTATTTAATTTCTCAAAGAAACTCAGTAATGTGTACACTTAATATGTATTAATTTTTGCATCTTTCCAAAATATTGTGTAATATTGTGAGACTATCTCAGACAAATACACAAAGGCAAAAAGAATACACACAAGAAATATATACTCCTATAAGGACAAGAATAAAATTGTCTTGGCTAAGGGTGCAAGTCAACCATCAAAGACTTGCTTAGAACACATGCAACATGAGGTTTAATCCTACGTCCAGCAACTAACAAACATAAAAATAAAAACAGCAAAATTAAAGGCTTTGTCAGAAACCCAGATCAAATTGAGGCTTCAATTGACAGTATTTTCGTTGCTGAATGAAATGATACTTTACATTCTTAATATATAACTCTAATTAATTTCATCTGTCATTTTTTTTAGCCATAGGTTCATTACCATGATTTTCAGATCAGCTCACAGTTGTAACATCTAGAGTGAACTCAGATGACTAACCTGAGTTCTTTTTATTTATTTATTTATTTATTGGTTTGTCGAGACAGGGTTTCTCTGTGTAGCTTTGGAGCCTATCCTGGCACTCATTCTGTAGTGCCAGGCCTTGAACTATCTGGCCTTGAACTCACAGAGATCCACCTGCCTCTGCCTCCCGAGTGCTGGGACTAAAGGCCTGCACCACCAATGCCCAGCCTAAACTGAGTTCTTATAATAATGATTTGCTTGATATCACACTGGTAACACATTACACATGAAATTCAAAATTATACCTTATTTACTCAATTTGATTAAAATAAATTTCTAGCTAATAATTACATTATCAGATTAAATTAATTCAATTAATTAAAATTTAATTTACAAACAAAGAAATTACTCAGTTTCTTCAAATTCATATGTTCTAAGTAGATGTTGAGATATATTCTGAAATTTCCAAGTATAGTAGAACTTTTTAAGTTTGGTGGTGGTTGTTTGTGTGTGAAAATACAGGTAGGTCAGAAGTAAACTTTTCTTACACTCCATCTTATGTTTTGAGACAGAGTCTCTCACTGATTCTGCATCTTACTTAGGCTATTTTGACTGGTTAGTAAAGCCCAAAGATCTGCCTATGTCTATCTACCTAGTTCTAAGGTTACAAATACTCCCTATCATACCCTGATTTTTGATATGGATATTGGTAGTTGAACTCAGGTCCTCATGCTTATGCAACCAACATCTCACTCACTGAGTGATCTCTTCAGATTCCTCTAACAGTTTTCTATTCCCTCATTATGGAACCTAACACCATGATTTTATATTTCCCCTAGAGTTGAAGTGTGTGTGTGTGTGTGTGTGTGTGTGTGTGTGTGTGTGTGTGTGTGTGTGTAGAGGTCAAGAATAAATGACAAAATAAACAATAGAGTAAAATTAAGAAATGAGGACAAGTTACAGATTTGTTATGAGTTATTCTGTTTTAACACTCTGATTGTCCCCCATGTTAGAGCCATTCTTACTGAAGTTTATAGGTCAGGGGTACCTACAACTCTACTCTGTGTTATATCAGTGACACGGAGGTAAGAAAATAGTGGCTATAGATTTTGATGGGGATTTCATGGGAGAGAAACTTTGGGTTTGATTGGTAGGATAGACAACTCATAGACACAGAGGGGATAGAGTTTGAGCATCTGTATTCAACCTGCTACCACCCTCTTGTACTTCAAGTCATGATAAAAATTATGTAGTTATCCCTAAAAACATACATACAAGTAGCATCGTATGGATTGGACAGGTAATATTTAGGAATACATACATACCTACATGCATACATATGTGCATGTAACAACAATTAGCCAAAAAGAGGACATTAATTTGAAGGAGAATGAATCGAGCTTTATGTGAGGGTTTGGAGGGAAGAAAAGCAAGTGAGAAATGTAAGTAAATTAATATCTCAAAATATAAAAAATTGCAAAATGTATATAAAATATACTTCTAACCTCAACTTAACATGATGATAATGCATATATGTTTTATATGGAAATACTGGACATATATAAAGGTATAGGCCCAATGAAAATACATGGCTTGATATTTGTAAGTCCTGGGTAAAAGTTTGTTCATTCTTTTTTGTCTTATTTTTTCTTAACAATGTCTGGATATCTAGTCCAGTTTGGCCTTAAAATTGCTATGTATCTCAGGATTCTAGAATGATCTTAAAATCAAAATCTTCCTATCTCATCTTGCTAAATACTGGAATGGCATGTGTGCCACAATACCCTATCCACTAGTTCTTGATATCTGGTTTTGGTTCCTATGATCATTTTCCTCCTTATTTTCATCACCAACTTCATGCTATTTTTAATCATCTGCAGAAAGTTTAGACAGGCAACTCTTTCATATTCTAGTTGAAGAGATTCTTCTAAAATTTAGAATTCACAAGGGTATAAACCTAAACAGTATACGAGAATTCTCATATTAACTAATACACTTAATAAAAGTTTAGCTAATAAAATATATTACATAGCACTTTGAGATACAACTTTGCTTATTGATACATTTCTCTCTTTGATTACTCCACATATCTTTCTGGTACCAATGATGAAAATGTAGTCTTTCTTTTGCTTATTGCATAGCACTTACTAGGCTGTATTGTG